GTAAGGTGGATTATGCCTCGTACTGAAAATAAAGGTACTGAAGTATTTCTAGCGTCCCAGAAGACAAACCTTGTTTATCAAATCAGAGTAGATGAGCCGAATCACTGCGAGTGTCTGACCCTCCACAGCTCCTCACTTCATCATCACCTGCCTGTTTCTCTGAATTATTAGGTGCAAACTGACCTGTTTAAGAAGTGGAGCATCAGCCAGATGTTTCCTGGTGTGTGTGTGCAGCAGATGGCCGGCACATGAGCTAATAGCTACCTTAACGAACGCACACATACAGCGGACAGAGCAGCGAACTGCTGTCGCCAGTGTGTCACACTGAGATTCAAGACTTCAATTCAAAACTCCAGTTTCTTCAGTTCTGTAATTCAGTCCAGTTTAAGTTTCTTCTTTTCCTCCACTAGATCTCATTTTACTGTATTACATTTATTTGACGGCTGGAGTTACTCTTTAGATTTACATTTTATATTTAAGAACCACCTAAACAACCTTTAGAACACCAGAACCACCATAAGGAAAACATCACCCTGTAGATTTGTTCAGGTGATCATTGCCTTTTAAATACAAATGTCCAATTTGTCACTGAGAGTCTCTGAATGAAATCAACCAGCTCTCAAACATTACAGGGATATTACCATTGTGAGTCCTTATAGCAGCTTAACATCAACCAACCTGCAACCATGCTGACATCTAGTGCTGCTGGAAAGAACTACAGCTAATACTTATAATATGACAGTATAGTGACTTGTATCCTCAGACATTATGTATGTAACTTTTTGTATATGTGGACAGTTTATGTGAGAGCTCTCAGCTCCCTGAGCTTTAGTTTGACTGTGAGTTGTGTTTCTAGTCAAACTCACATTCAGTGTGTGGATCATCAGAATCTGAATCAGAATCTGTCTGTTTTCTCTTTAGTGAGGAAGAATAACAAACTGTTTCCTGGTTTGTCTCAGGTGAGTCAGGTGAGGGGTGAAACTCTGTTGAATGGTGTTTCTGATAATGTAAACCCGTTGTGCTACATTCTGATAGTGTGCAACAGGCTGTTGCATAAGTACAGTACTTGAGTGAATGTACTTCAAACAACGACAGTACCACAGAAAAAAAGACAAATCAGCTCTATGACAACCTGCTGACAGCCAATATGGTCTACTATGCACCCCAGTTTTTCTGATTTGATTTCCTTTTTGTTTTTCGACCTCTCACAGCAAAGCAGAGCGAACATTTCAGATGTCTCTTAGTTTTTAGCAGTTAGTCCTCTAAACTTCTCACAGGATTCACTTTGATGACTGAAGAGGTAAAATTATCCATTATTTCCCAAAACAAAGCAAAACTCCATCCACAAAGTTAAAACAGGTTTATGTATTAATGATCTGACGACCCCTAAAATTTTCCTGGTGACCATTTGGAAGGCCCTGACCCCTAGGTTGGAAACCACTGGCCTAAACTGGCAAACTGAAGCTCCAACTGGAAAATGCTGCTCTAACATTGATCAGTATTAACAATCTAATAATGTCACACATAATCATGTATCAGTCACAGACGTGTTTTACTTTAGGTAAAACGTTCATTTATTTATTGTTTTACATCACAGGGTTGTGCAATGAAATGCTAGCTGTAGTCCCTTTATGGTACTCACAATACAAATTATGTAAAAGGTTGAATAATAGGACAATAGATAATAAAGGGCAATGGTTCTCAACTGGTCTCACCTTGAGACCCACATTTTTCAATGATTACTAAGTCGTAACCCACTTTTATAGAATTCAAACTAGGCACATATGCAATGTCATCATGACCTTTGCTCCATAAAATATAAACATATTTTCATCGCTGCATTCAGGGAGGGTGTTTTTAGAGCTGGATTCCTTGCATTCTTCTCCACACATCGACACAAACACACACTGCCAAGACTGGCATTACATACACACACAAAGAGCATATGGCTAATAAACACAGATATATGTGTTATTTTAAAGAAAGTATATGTACAATCTGTTGTTGTTATTATACACTCAGGCCTCTCATGGATTCAAACGAAGATAGTGAATAAAGAAATTAATCAATACTGTCGACTGAAATACACACTGTTACATCAGACGCATTCAGCACAGGCGGTCTGACAAAGCTCCACCCCTCACCTGACTCACTTGAGACAAACCAGGAAACAGTTTGTTTTTCAGTCTGTGTGTCTCTCTTTAGTGAGGAAGAATAGCAGACGATCAGATTCACCTTCAGACTAAACTTCAGCTACAGGAGAGGAAAGTGGAAAACTACAACACTGCTGCTTCAACCTGCTGAGGTTCCACACACTGAATGTGAGTTTGACTAAAAACATAACTCAAAGTCAAAGTAAAGTTCAGTGAAGTTAGTAGAGGAGGGAGGGGTGCCAACGCTGACTGTACTTTCTATTTCTGTTTGCAGTTTCACTCAGAGACAAAATGGCTTCCAGAT